TTGTGTATATCATTTTGATTAATAAATAATCATGAGAGAGAAGAAAGCAAAATATTGATGATAATTATTATTTTGTTTGGTTAATTAATAATAATGATAAATAATTTTAATAATGATAAAATTGATGTCAACTTTTTTTATTTTCTATACTAATTAACATAAAAAAAATGTATTAATTACATCCTTAACTTGTGCCCTTAAATAAATCCTAGATAAAATTGTGTATATCATTTTGATTAATAAATAATCATGAAATAAAAACATTGCATATGTTTCAGCTTTATATTTTTTTCTGGTATGTTGGATAATAACTATATAATTGGAGATAGTTTTTCTTTTTTGAAATCCATTCCCACCCATTTTAAATTTTAATTTAAAACCTCTATCATAAGATTCAAACTCTTAACAATTAAAACATATTAAGAGAAAATTTCAATTGTATATAATTTTAAAAGTTTGTTTAAAAGTCAACTTTTCCTAAAATTTGTATTATTGTCTACGTCCATGTAGGCATATTGAACACTTCAGTAATGGTCCCATGCAGATTAGTACATCATGAATTATCCCAGCTTCGTAGGTGAACCACATTCTATATCTGAACTATATGTAGTTTCGGGGCCACATGCTAAAAAAGACTTTATTAAACTAAAGGTTCGACAAAACTTAAAACACTTTAAAAAATAAATTCTTCTCTCACTTTTTCATTTTTGATAAAATGTGAAATTTATTTACCTAATAATATTTTTACACAAACTAGAAGCCATATATAGCTGCTACATAGGAATACAATTAGATAGCTAGTCTATCAAAAAGAAAAACTCTATTTCTCTTAAATTTTGAAATTTTGTTAGAGAAAATTTTAAAAATTTAATTTTAAATTTGTGAACAGAATTTACTTTTAAAGTAAGTATTTTTTTAAATTTTGACAAAGACCATCCTAGTATTTTTTATCTACAAAACATAGTATTGATGATTATGAGGTTGAGAAAATTTAAGATATCTTAGTTATTAAAGTGCTAGACATAATAATTAAAAAATTAATTTTTTTAATAAATTAACACATAATAAAGATTTATTATAAATATTTAAACAATATCATGAGATATTTTAATATTAAAAATATTAAAATATCATGATTTTCCTTTTGTTGATGATGATATGTACAGTAGAAAGAATGTACGTGTTGGGGGTTTGGATTACATGTTATGATTGTAATGACGTTAACATTTAAAATATTATTTCTAAAAACATTGAGAATCACATGATTGGGAAATAAAGCGGATAAATTCCTTTCTTAGACAAGTGATTTCCTATCAAGGTTCATCTTTGACAAAGTAAATTAACCTTTCTTTGTGGTTTATCATCTCTTTTTTGCTTTTTAGTTTTTGAGTTAATTCCCTTTTGTCATGCTTGTTGCTTAATCATAACAAAAGAAATAAATAATTAAATAGCTTTTTTACACAAGTAATACCAAATCAAAAAGTATATTAGTTTCTCTCTATTAATTTTCAATAAATTTAGTATTTTATTTAATAAAATAAAAAGATAATAATTTATTAATAAAATTTTATATTTATTTCTAATTTAGTACTACTGAAATAAGACTTTTTATTTAATACATGTTACAATTATTTTTTTAAAATAAAATAAAAATAAAAATAAATGCATTAAATGATGTCTTAAAAAAGAAAAGTGAACAACTAAATTTAAATTTCTCAAATAAAAAATTAGATGTATTAAAAATAAACGGATGAAGTATATAAAATTCAGGCTCAGCTTAGCTTATGAATGTGTCTTTTTCTTAAATAAATAAACATACAAAATTAAGGAAATAGTGCATTGAAAAAAAGTAAAAGAAAAAAAAAAAACCATAGAATACAAACATGTTATAGGGCTGATCCTGAAAGGCCCAAAATCAATTGAGCCCCGTTCATGCCTGGAAATTGGATCTAGTTCAAGTCCAAAGTCAGAACGACATTTGCGGAAAAATAAATTTGGAGCTCAAATGTCATGCTCCATATATGACACATGCTAGTTTTTCTTTTTTCTTTTTTTCTTTTATTTTTTATTTTTTAATATATTACACAAAAAGAAGTGATCATGTTGCACCTTTAATTTCTCATTTCCCACCTTACACATGTGCCATCATGACCCAAAAAATTTACATTTTTTGAACTTGCATCACCGTGGAGGAATTACAATGAGTAGAGTTTGAACCTTTAACCCAGATGTATGCTCACAAGGATAAGGTAGGCAAATAGCTTTTATTATCCCTTACTTAATTTATAAATAAGGGTTGGAAAAAATTGGTACATCCTAACAACTTATTAGAAAT